GTCGTCCAATATATTTCTTTTATATCGGAAACTGCTGTATCTTATATATATTTTTTTATATTGGACAGTTGCGTGCGTACTATACATGATGTTATCCATGGATCTAGTATAATATAGGATAATACAAAAGGAATTCTAATGACATTCGTAAAATAATATTCCAACACGCTTCACACTATTCTTCTATCAAAAGATTATGCTGTCAAGTGAATAATTAGATCATAAAAGTGAAATGATTACACGTCATATAATATCATATTTGCAGTTAAATAAACACGTAAGAAACAAATGACGTTAGAAATATTTACTTTACTCCAAATGTAGTTTTTTGGGTAATCGATTTATTCAATACTTCATATATTGTCAACATACTATCAATACATGCATAAAATAACACACAAACATGCAACAAAAACGTAATTATAACATTAAGTAGACAATATGTACAGTATGTATTATATTACTCTAAGATAACACCAAACGGGATCAAATCACTGTAATATTAACACACACGATTATATAATCATAAATGAATTATCATGAAGTTAAAATCAATGAAATAATTTTGCCAACATTGTACTTTAATAAAGACACTTTTGTCGATATGATGAGACAAATACATCGTGCACAATCAAAATAAAAATAAAACTACAGCATTAACATGTAAACCATTATCACATTTAGTTACAAATCAATTAAGTCATATATATCAGGTTAGGATATATTCATTTGATCTAATTCTATCTGGTAAAAAAAGCTAAATCAAAAGATTTTGTTGAAAGTAATGACATTTGTGTCCTTTTGCATGAAAGTATGTGTACCAATCTTTTGTGGCATTGTAGAAAACATGTTTGTAACATGAAAATCATTTTGTGGCAGAACAAAATGAAAGTTACAAGATCTCAAATTGGCTTAAGCAAGTCCTTTCAGTTCAACGTTTTTACAGTATACAATTTATATATATTTTAAGACATTTTGTGTTTTTACGAAGTAATTTGAATACAGAATGAATATTTATCAAATATATTATTCTGTACAATATAGGGTATATTTTTACGCTGATCTATTATTTCAAAGTTATATTCACTTTCTGTATTGTACAATTCGATGTTAAATAGCCTTTAATTATTCAAACATGTGTCAAAAAGACAATATCTACACAAAAAGTTGTGACACAATAAGAAAGATACACCTATTTTCTATACAAAACTATAAAACTAGAAATCATAACAGCACACTGTTACCAATTTATAGCTACAATTACAGTATGAGACAGATGAGGAAATAATGATTTAAACATTTTTTTCAATGCCACAATATAGAACAAATGATCTGAACAGTTGTAAAGGATACATGTTTTAATGTAAACTAGACATTACACAATTTTATACAAATATGGACTTTTTAGCTTGTGAATATGATGTGATATGTACTGTAAAAATTGATATTGACCGAGGCGATTTATTATATAATTTATAAATATTTTTTATATGGCTTATCAAATCTGTCATTGCATAAGACGGAAATCGAAAATTTTAAATTTCAGCTTGTCTATATTTTCCATAATTTGACCCTGTCTTGGCCATTGGCACGCTAATTTGTAGTGTTCTTAAAAATTTAAAGACGGTAACAAAAATAGACTAATTTGACTCTTATTTACGAGTCACCCAACGATTTTTTTCAGAAGAATAACAACGAACTTGGCGTGACGTCACGTCATAGTCTCGCGTCTTTCTGGGATTTCTAGAAAATATATTTTGAGGAGAAAATCCGGCTGGAAATCAAGTTTTAGAAAACAAAAAATGACAGCTATTTATATATTATATAACAATTAATGATAGACATGTATTAGTTTATTAAGATTAATCAGTAGGATTTAATGAGAGTAAAATATCTATACATCCTACTATTGCTTAGACATATCAAAATCCGAGTTCAACAACTAAAAATAACAAACTAAATGTTAGATACACCAGGGCATATTAAAGTATACTTATACAAATATAGAAAATATTCATGTCAGACATTTAAATAGGCTGTATTTTTTCATTGTCGATAACAATTGCAAAGTCATATCTTATTTGTTTGTAAATTGTAAAAAAAAATCATCACATTTTCATATTATGATAGTATATTCAGAATAAAGTACATGTCTTCATTTGCGTCCGTTTTTTACTTTTACAAACAATGTATTAATATATCTGATAATACACATCTTTATACTAGTAAGAATCCATGCATCCCTACAGTTACCGAGTATATTAAATTTAATAGGAATTTTTTGCCAGGTCTTATATTACCTTCATATATAATTAAGTAAGTTAAATACATATAAAAAGTCAGTATAAATGTACAAGGTAAAGTTGTTATCAATTCTGCATAGGTTTTTTCACACCTAAAGAATATTGTAGGAACACAATAAAGTGTTTACCATTCAAAGTCCACATAGAAAAATTCTTCCCATTTTTTCTAAGTTATACCGATTATGATGATGATAATGATGATGTTTATGATGATGATAATGAAGATGATGATAAAGATGATGATGTTACTCATAAAACAAATCAAAGCACCGAAAGAGTTAGTTGCGACAAAACCTGAGAATTTGATGCAAATTAATCATAAGTATACATAGCGGTAAAGTTTACAATTTACACTAGTGCTATTCAGAAGGTAAACATATTCCAAATGGAAATTTAAAGCGATATAACTGTACGTTCTATAAAAAAGCATCATTTTATACAAAAATGGTATAATGATCAAAATAAAAAAGGAAAATCGTTTAAAAAAATACAAAGCAAACGTTTAAAAGTTTAAAAATTTTAAATTACATTAGAATGTTCTAATACAGGTAAAATATGACGAGTAATATGATATTGATAAGAAGTTTATGTATGGGTAAGAGTTTGTATTAAGACGACCGTAGGGAGTCTTATTTTTATCAAACTCTTACCCGTATTACTGCAAATCGGCTCTTACAACTCGATATCAGATAAAGATATAGAAAGTGTCACCTCTTTAATTAAGCATGGCATTGTTTTTCCCCAGCAGTCACGTACAAACAAGGATGTGGTCAAATTACTTACTCTGGCATGTAAAACAATGAGTTTTCAACAATACCTCGGATTGTTAATGCAATTCATTCCTGTCATATGAAACAAAATAATGTTTTGCTTACTTTTTCTAGAAAATATAAACAGTCAGCAATTATTAATTGACATTTTTCTTAGAGTTAAAAGGATATCAAACTAATTTGTCTCTGCGAGCTGAGCTTCACGTGTATTAGCTATGTAATAAATTTGAATGTATCCTCACATCGCTACAGTGTTATCAGCCTTTTTAGAAACACCTGACATGGCTAATTAAAATATATCAATCACAATTTTCACAATCAGCACTGGTTTCTTCATAAAAAAGTGGCTACACTAATTACTGCCGAGTAAGAGCCGATTTGCAGTTATATAGTTGTGATGATAGCAAATAGAGAAATTCATCTACAATTATTAAACAAAAACAAACAAAAACAAACGAACAAACAACATCAAAAATGGAACTCCGATGGCAATGCCATTACAGAAGTCCCTTTATCACTTCTTAAAACTGCATGCCACCAGATGAATAAAAACAGTTCAGAAAATGAAAATCAAACTTAAGAAAAAGTTCTTAAAAAGTAAAAAAAAAGCAAAAAGTTCACGATAACAGTAATAATGTACATGTTATGTGCGATACATAACAGATTTTGCAGAATTTATCACGTTGATGATAAGTGTTGTTTTCAAAATAATAATTACTTTCTGTATTCACTTCACAAAAATTTAACTTTATAAAGACATATTTATTTTGTAATGAAAAATAAGCATAAATCTGGAAGCATAACGTATACTGCAAACATATTTGCAGAAAAGAATCTCCATTATTGCGCATACAAAGTGATGATTCATTTTGACAAATTTAAGAGGAAACGATTTCATTGACGGTAGAATTATATTTTGATTAAACAGCCAAACAGTTACAACCCTTTCACTAGTATTTACTTTTTCAAACAACAATGCCTTAAATTCGTCCACTGATTGGTCGTTATACTGATTGACATACTATTCTATGCTTCGCAATATTTTCTCTTCAATTTTCAAAATTTCTATAAAACTTTTGACAACCCAAAATATTTGTAATAGTTATATTTTTATGTCATCAATAAAAAGAAATATAACACTTTTTCTTGCGAACAATTTCCGAAAAACGTTTGATCACTACGCTTTTGTTTAACAGTCTTCAGTAAAATCTATTACTTATTTGTGTCAGTGATATCTGTTTGCTGTACCCATGTAAGCAAGACATTTATGACATACAATGTAAGTTAAATGCACTTATCTGCTGAATTCACTAAGGGAATTCAGAAAATATTTTCAAATAATGATAACGCAAAGGTTTTACGTAAATCTGACCAAAACACGATTTATTTAATAGAAACCGCCACCTGCATCAAGGTTCGATATCAATCAAGCTTACTGTACAATTCATTAAAGATATACTATGTTCAAATTTGATATCAGGAATTACTGGTAATTGCTACACAGTCTCTTTGTAAATATAAAATAAAATAAACATTCTTTTACTTCACACAAAGTTGATATGTCATGTTTAAAACTCTACACGCTTTAGGTGGTCACACTATGAATATACGACGTAAAGTGACGTTAAAAAAACTGGCAGATTTTTTAAGAAAAGACCAACTTACTTGTCCTGTAAAAGTGAAAGCGACTTCCAATATACAGTTAATTCATTTCTTTATTCAAATTAGACATATTCAGTAAGGATTTCATAGGTTTTAACAAATTTCTTTGATTAAAATATTTTCGCTTTCCGAACGAAACATTTTAAGCTTATGTAGATTATTTATGAGCCCGTGAACAAGTAAGTTAAAAGCATGAAAAAATTAATCATGACGTACTTCAATAATTTCTACTAAAGATCGATTTTGTATGTTTTTTCGCTTAGCCCTAAGAATATATAAGGTGTAAGCTATCAATCGCGTCGTCTTTTGAAATGTTCTGCCAATAGGGAGGTATTTTGTTCACCTTTATAAGAAATTTCCTCGAAATGCGCCTTTTAAAGTGAACCATGAACCACGCCCAAAACTTTGAACAGCTTTCAACTGTTGTTCCAGGCTTGATGTCCCATTTTGGAAAGAGATCTCGGTAGTCAAAAAATTTATGCTCTTTTTCCCCACACTCTCCTCTTTTATTTGAACAGACATAGTTGATAAGTTTACATGGAAAATATTTGTTTCTCATTTGGATATCGACATTGCAAGTAGTTATGCTGGCTTCTTTTCCGTCAGGATTATAATGTCCTTTTATGCCTTTGGGCTTGTGCTGTAGAGCATAGTGTTTTCTTCCTGCGTGCGTTTTGCCATAAGCACAAGGTTCGCCACAAAAAGGACAGCTAGCTTTGCAACCCCATACATTTTCTACAACATACTGTATCGGATCTCTTCCGTCCCATTTTACGGAATTTTCATCTACCGCTTCATATTCGTTTTCCAAATCAAGTTTTAAATCTTCAAGCTTTTTGACAATACATTCTTGTAAACATGTAAAATCTATATCGTGCTGTAACATAGACTTCATCAACTCGAAACTCTTTACAGTTGTCCCACATTTCTCTTCACTGTCCACAAACGACTTTATCCATTTATCGAACGACGAATCAGATGCAATACTTTTCTTAACGCTCTCAAATACAGAGCTCCTAACACTATCTAATGGGATGTGAATTTGAAAACAAGCAATTTCAGAGTATTTGCTTTTGATAGTTTTATCTTTTCTAAAAAGAAATTGTTGTGCCCTGTTAAATATCCATCGAGCAGCAAAATTTTCAGGACCTGAATTATAGAGAATAAAGTCATCGAAATTTTCATTTCTTGCAAGCTCTGTCAAGATTTCAACAATCAAATGGTATTTAACGGTTGGAATAACATCACAAAGAGCTGATGTAACCTGAAATGATATATTTGTAGATGCAATTTGTCTTATTTTAGTTTCAATAATACTTATGAATTCAATTGCAGCCTTTTCCTCCGCTTCACGATGATCGATATGGGCTTTAAAAATTTGTAGGCCTTTTGCCTTTTTTTGCTCCAGTCGGATGTCAATAATCTGTAAAAATATCGAATTATGTTTCTTGAAAGAGTTTTCAGCACATGCATGAATATGAACTATTAAACGTACCCTAAACTTACTGCTCCAAGACCAAGTTGTTTGATACCTTTTTGAAATATCATCAACTTTATGTACAAATTCACAAATATGTGAATTTGTTACTTCAGAATTTTCAGTGCAGTACCCATTTATCAGTTGATCAATTATTTCAAACATTTTTTCAGCTTTGTCATTTGCATTCTCAAAATCGCGACTTCTTTGTTTTGTCTTAGGCATGAAACTGATTTTTGAAGTTACATAATCGTCTGTACATACTCCAATTTCTCTAAACGTTCCACACAATTTTGAACATGATGTTTTGCTTATTGGCAATTTCTGATATGACTTCTGCTGCGCCGACAAAATCGGCCTTTCCCTTTCATATTGCTTTGAAATAGCATCATCAAAAGCTTTAGTTACATCTACCTTGGAATGGCTTGAATATTCATTTACAAACACAGTCCTCCAGATTTCTTCAAATTTGCTTGTAACGTCTGCTTCTTTCCAAACTGAAGTTTTTAGTTCATTTGCTACTTGAATTGATTTTTCATGAAACTCTTTTTCTAGTTTTAGATCAGATGTCAATATTGTTAAATTTTGCTTCCTAAATATTCTTGATATTTCATTGTTGATATTATGTTTCAAATCCTTACAAAAATCTTTGATTTGATATAGCATTGGTTCACGCCATTTTTCAGTTATTTCTCTGTTTTCATCATCATCAATGGATTTCTGCAACTCACTACTCAGGAAATCTTCCGCTCTTCTTACGCTGTCTTTGACTTCAAGCATAAGCTGTTCCATTTCAGTACTGAGAATAGCGGCTGTTTCACAAACGGATGACTTTGTGAATGCGGTCGAAATAAAAGTATCATTTTCTCTGTTTTCGACTATTCGATATAAGCTGTTTAACTGTTCTGTTAATTTGATATATGCCTTAATTTCTAATGAATTTCTAAATGCAAATACAAAATTGTCACTCAAAACTCCTTCCCATAGATCGCCTGCATGTGTCATGGTATCATTTAAAGATTTAAAGGATTTATACTTCATTTGTATTGCGTTTCGGATGATACTTTGTTTGATATTAAAAACCCCTTTGCTGTATTCAGCATTTACAAATTCCATTGGGGGACTTCCTTGCCAAAGATTAGGCATGTGCCACACGTGGGTATTTATGTCGAACTCGATAATCTCGTTAAAGGAAACTACGTCAAGAATTCCTTCAATCTCAGCGGCATCTTTCGTTGCTGTGTCTAACGTTTTATGGAATATTTCTAATCCTCGTCTTTTCTTTTCAGAAGCAAGAATATTTGTAACATTTTGATGCACAAAATAGCATTGCTTTCTTATATCTAGATTCTCATTTGCAAGTTTAAGCCGCAAAAATGCGTGAACCACAACATGCAAAATATCATTTATTTCGCTTAAATTCTCGCCTTTGATATTAAGAATTGTAATATCACCAATTCCAGCTATAAATGTAGCAAGTTCATTATCATGATCTAATTTACGGTCACAAAACTCGGGTGCCCGTAAACCCTCAGTATCGAGAAGGAATATAAAATTGAAAGGACAACCTGAAGATTTTTCTTCTTTTTTGATGGGAATAAGTTGCATGTTAATACCCTTTGTGCACCGTCCAACACTCGCTAAGAATTGAGTTCCAAACATTGAGTTTAACATTGTTGACTTTCCAGAACTTTGCAAACCTAGTACAGAAATAGACAAAACATTGTTTCTTCCTATCTTGTTTGACACAGCTCGAAAAACTAATTTGATCCATTCAACTGGCAATAGAAATCTATCACCATCTATTAACTCCAATGTCATACCTGATATTAGTAGATCGGCCACAGCAATTGCAACATCTTGATAGGGCGGCATTCCCCTAATCTCCCTTTTAAGCACCAAAGATGTTTCATAAATATATCCCAATTCTCTAAATAGATGGTCTACATTTAAGGTCAAATCATCGATTTCATTATCTGAGGCTATTATGCGTTGTTCAATGTCTTTTATCTCTTTTTTTGAGGATTCATCCTTACGCATGCGTTCACAATCTAGTTTCGCCTTGTTATCAATGTTGCTATTGATGAGTGACAGTAAATATTTTGATTTTTTTTCAAATATGAGTATTTTGAGCCATGCTAAAAACATATGTTTAAGTGAAGGATTACTCATGTCAACTAAGAAGTTAGTAAAGCATTTCATGGAAGAAGTTACATTGAAAAGTAGCCGATATCTTATTTCATTTATTTCCTGTTGTATGTGTACATTTTGGTCATCTTTTTGTAGTCTATGCAGTAATTTTGTTAGCGATCCAAGTTTATAAGCAATATTCCATTGAATAGGGGTAACGACGCTTCTCAAAAGTTTATCGCTAGCACGCTGCATATGTTGAATCATTTGCAATGCCATGTATTTACTTTTTGTAAACAGTTCAAAATCCTCGTCAAATGTTAATTCAGATACAGATCTTAGCTTTTGTATTCGATCTGCAAGTGTACAGTTATTAATTTCTTTTATTGAATTATTCAAGCTTTTGTGTAAAGCAGAAGACATTTCTAAAACACTTCTTTCTTTGGAACCTGTAACAGTTTTAAGTATTTCTTTTACATTCAATTTATTTTTCAGCGAAGTCACAAGAGTTTGGTCGGTTCGTTTCAAAGGATTTGCAATGACAACTATAATAGCAGAAAAAGAAGTCAAAAGATTATGTAATTCAGTTAATTTTTCTCTCAATGACGACAAATCAACAAAAATAACGAGAACATCTGTGAGTTGTGATACAGGTTGTAAGACAGAAAAACTTTTATATGATCCAATACACCCCCTGCAATTCAAAAATGTTATGGAATTATCAAATTTGTCATCTTTTTTACCGACTTGAAGTAGCCAGGATATTTCTACCAATCCTTGTGTTACCTTTCTTTCTGTTGAACCATGCTTGCACTCTTTACTGTAAAATGTGTTTGCACCCTTATCTGACAAAAGTGCATTTAATAGATTTGATTTCGAAAATCTTGGACGTCCAAAGCGGGCAAAAGTTACAACGATTGTAGGTAAATCAAGGACACAAATTTCAGTTTCTTTTGGCTGTTGATTATTTATAGAAAGAACCGTTTCTACCTGTAATGTTCTTAATGGCCAAATTGATAACTTTGGCTTGTTTAAATTTTCATTAAATTGTATGCTCAAAAAAGGGAGAGACTTTTTGCAAAGATACAATTTTTTAAACAAGATCTGTGTCAAGATTGGATCACAAAACTGCAAAACGACAAAAAATATGTCAGCAGGGCTTACACTTCGTTCATCATTCCGCTCTTCTTCGTTGTCGTCATAAAAAAAGTCATCAAAATTCTCTTCCAAGTTGCATTCGCTGTCACATTCGTTCATTGGTAGGTCAGACAGAATATTATCTCTAATATTGCAATTCACATAGACAATACCTCTCAAAAGACGCATTGGCAGGTCTTCAAACGTCACATTAGTTTCTAAATTCTTAGCAGGGTCAAATGCGATAACGTCAGAAAGTGTAAGCATGTTTTTCAAGCCCATGAGTTCTTTTAGTTTATCGAATTCGGACTTTATCAACGTCATTTGTTCCAGACTGCTACCTGTTTCAAAAAAAGACATGCTCAATCCGATGTTTCACATTGCAATGTATCAATATTAAGATAATTGATAAAATGACTTTACCGCCCTTTTAGTGGCTAATTTACGCCATGTCGCATTTTCGCCTTTTGCCACATTAATTCTAAAACACGAAGGGACGACAATTATGACACTGTCATAGTTTCGTTTTGTTGCATTTTCGCAAGGTCGATGTCCAAAGACCGGAGAGACATCAAAATTAGACAAGTATACCACACATTATATACCACCTTTTAATTCGAACTGCTACTTAAAAATGGTTGATGATATTCTATTGATGTAAGTATGACCCAAGAGGCGGTGTTTCTAATGCAAATAGAAATTGTACTTCCGATTTCGCCACAGTGAGGTTGCAGAATCTCATGCTGCTCATAAAACTCATTTTGGTTGTCTGGACACCAACATAAGAACATGAGTCGATATGAAACGCATTTAATTAACTAAATGTAGTTTTTTTCTCTTTTTTTATGAAATTTATTTAATGCAGCTTTAACGCATATTTGCATTTTCTTTCTCGCATTATTGCATAATCGGATTTTCGCCTTTTTTCTTCTTGCATTTTTTCTCATTTTTCATTCACATTGTTAAACATTTTGTATCGTAAGTTTCGTGTTTTCATATTGTCACTTCTCTACAAATACACCACAAAAATAAGACACGATTACTATTTTTTGTCAAATTGTCGTACTTTTTGTACTGTCCTTTTTTGCGAGAAAGAAAATAAATGAAAGAAACAAAAAGTAGAGTGCATAAATGACGACCTAATGTTACTTTAAGGTGACAACGGAGTCAATTATCACTAAAAATACCTAAAATGAGATTTTTGCTAAGTAGATTTATCAACCTTTTCTGAACACATTCGTGATTTAATTTTGGAAGCAGTTAGTCCAAAAAATGTGTTTTTAAACGTTTTAAAACGGTAACCTATACTATTTGTATCTGCTATTCGCGTAACCTGTCGATTATCGATAACACTCCGCCCCCTGTTGAGGCATCAATGAGGGAAATCGGTAGTTCCATATATCCGTGAATTACAGGTCCATACTGGTTCATACTTCTCGTAATACATGTATCGTACAACTAACGTACATCGTTTATGAATATCTCAACATCTAGCCTTTTTTATAAATTAAGAAATTGTCGGCCAATGTACGTAACATAATGTATGAAACATAAATAATTAAGCATAGCGGCAAATCGCACGACCACGGGGTTGATTAAAAATGTAGTTGCTAAAATATCCATAATGTGTGAAAATAATTTGTCTGTCCCGTTAATCTGATAGATATTACGTTGAGCTGATAGACTTTTGTACGGATTCAAGGGCTTACTTTACATTCAACCTCGTTTTCTAACAATGTTAAGTAAAACAACAACAAAAACAGACAACATTTTTTTTATGTGAACGCCTATGTGACTTGTGGTAAGGTGTCCCTGACCAATTTCTAAACCATTTTAAATTGTCTAAGGATGATTATTTCTCTATAAATAAAAAAAGATATTAAAATATATTCTCAGTGAACAGTAAATCCGACACAGTACTAATAAATCTGGGACAAAGTATGAAATTTATTGTCTATCCCGGTAGAAACTGGATCTCTATGCCGTGCATAGATGATATTCATAATAGAAGTCAAGAAGGCCAGATCATAATGATCGAGTAATACCTTTTATTTCTATTAAAATATGTGAAGCATCATCAATTTGGTGGAAAAAATATATGTAATATCCCGTTCTTATTTGTACATCTACCATGGACTTTAAAAGACTGCCAGGAGCTTAGTTTTTTGTTATTTTATTTTATATTTTAACGGAATTTCATACACGAATACACAGGCAGAGTGACACTGGTATAATACAATAATAATGCTGATGATAATAATAATAAACTTCAAAAAGGAAACAATTAAATACCCCGCTAGCGGTGCGCAAATGCGTTCCCTTTCCCCCCACTGAGTGCCTCAAATTTTACCGATAGTCACGTGACATGTGCGACAGATACCAGACGAACAGTAAATCACGTTAAGAATTGAAGAAATTTCGGCTATAAACTGATATTAATCAGCAGCTTTTTAATTGGTCAGATGTCACTGGGTCATAAAATGTTGTTAGAGTATGTTACCGCAACTTGTGACCCTCTCTGGTGCGATATTTGTGTATTATGCAATTATTTAGCGTGAAACGTAGGGGTCCGAGAGAGAACAGCGGATTTATGACACTTCGTTTGATGCGGGTGGGACTAACTTTGAATCGGCATAACTTTTTTAATAATCAAGCAATTAACATGCGGTTTAAAGCTTATGAAAGGAAATTTATTTACGGAGGGAACCATGTCAGGGATTTTTGTTTGCTCAATAGGCGACTTAATTATCTTTAATTACGTAATATGTATGGTGAAAAAAGTCGCATAAAATGTTTGACGTTACGTAATATTTTTTTGAGAAAAGATAGAAAAAATTTGAGACACGGTTCCCTAGATAATATAAGTATGGTTATTTTCCAAAAGTTTGATGACAAAAAATTTAAAAATGACTTTGATATGACGATTTAAAATTTTAGGATTTTTATTCAAAATCAATCATTTACAAAGGCATTTTTTTCAAATATGTTATTTTTTATGATGATCAACGACATTTAATGCACAAAGATTAAATGAATAACAATTATTACTAAAATAACTTTGTTTAAATGACATTTGTGTGAGTACCACGGAAAGTGTCTGTTGTCACCTTAAAGGCCTAAAATTTAGAAATTTCAAATGATTACGTTAAACTAAAAATGCAAAACAAATTTTGTGGTGATTTAGGTGTTATATCTATAGCAGGCGCGTTTATATATTGTTCCTATTAAACAAGTTAGTTACTAATAAATAGCCATTATATTCAATTTCTAAATTTGATGACAAATAGGGAGACTTAACAACAAAGCAAAACAGAAACTAGTCAAACCATAAGAAAAAATACCTGAACTAGAATCATCATCTGTCGACGAAGTTTCATACGTTTCTTCAAAACAACCCTCAAACAATTTAATTGTGAGTGGTTTTCCATGTATAGTATGTGATGGTGCCTTCAATATATTTGTTACTCCTAAATAAAAGTATGGAATGTCTTAATATAACTAAAACTAACCATTTAATATAATTTTGTCATTAGCATGAACTTGTAATCAAACAGCTTATACTTGTCAGGTTATTCTCTGAATATGCATTATTATGGACGTGATTAAAACAACTAACAATGTAGAGTAATGGTATCATTGCAAAATCTCTTAATAGACTCTACATATTATTTAGGATTATACTCCGGACAAATTTCTTTAAGCATTTGTAAGTGTTATTGAGGGAGATGATTAAATATTAAGCAGCATAAAATTACAATCTTTGGACCCTGAAC